GGGCCCTCTTCTGAGAACAACCATGTATCAGTTGGCCCAATCTGTGTTTTGGATTTCTCAATCTGTAGACAGCTCAGACCACCTTGTGACTGTTTATTATTCTGTAGATGTTTCCTTCTGACTGAAATACCTCTGGCCTGATGGAAGAAGGAGAACTAGGAAGCTCAAAGCCTCCAGTGCCCTCCTCAGCCTCAGGGAACTGCTGCTGGGGATACAAGGGAAGAGAAAACTCCTCCATGGACCTGGCTGCAAACTGGCCCAGGGGACCTCCTGGATGCAGCTGTCATGAATCAGCACAATGTTGTGGTGCCTTTCCTGTGAATGCAGCTGATGAGTCACCCATAAACATGGGACCCCAATAAAGTCACTGGTCCTCTAAGCTGGACTGGGATGGCATCATTTCAGGGTCTTTATTGAGCATCTGTATCGGGGTGACTGGAATCAGACTGAAGGTTAACTCTGGGGTGTTAGTGCCAGAGCTGCTGGCTGTTGGGGGATGGGCAAGCAGGGACTGCCCCATCCTGCCACCAGCCTGGCCTTTCTGATACACTCCCTAAGGTCTTCTTGTCCCAGAGCTCCCCTCTGAAATTACTGATAGTCTGTGGCCCTGGCACATCTGCCACCTGCTTGCAGAATTTAAGCCTGGGTACTGGTAACCACCTTCCCCCGGCAGGGGGTCACTGTGGTGCTATGGTAACATGTAAGTCAGTCAGCCCAGGGAGAAGTACAGCCTGGCTGAGTTCATTGAGATGGAGTGTGTGTGTGTGTGTGTGTGTGTGTGTGTGTGTGTGTGTGACCAAAGACCGTGTTATTTGTCCCTGTCAATCAGATTTCCACCTGTTTCCTGAGACAGGGTCTCTTTAGCACCCACCTGTGAGACCGGGTTGGTGGGCCAACAAGCTGCAGGCTCCTGCTGTGTGTTTCTCTCCAGAGCATGGGTGACAGGTGTGTGCCCCACACAGTGTTTCACAGGGGTGCTGCGTCTGAACTCAGGTCCTCATGATGTGACAACTGTTCCATCTGCCCCCACCTCAGATGGACACTGACCTGGAGTTACACTTGTCACCTCAGATGGACACTGACCTGGAATTTCACTTGTCCCCTCAGATGGACACTCACCTGGAATTACACGTGTCCCCTCAGATGGACATGACCTGGAATTACACTTGTCCCTTCAGATGGACATGACCTGGAATTACACTTGTCTCCTCAGATGGACACTGACCTGGAATTACAAGTGTCCCCTCAGATGGACACTGACCTGGTGAAGGGTGAAGGATATTTGTCCCAGAGGTACAAAGGACTGCCTCTGTCATTGTGGAGGTTAAGGCTGGGGGATCATGAGTTCAAAGCTGACCTGTGCCATGTCACAAGAGTGTGAAATATACACAGAAGGTAGGGGTAGGGAGGCCAGAGAACATGGCAGTGTGAATCTAGTCCTACCTGCCAATCACCTTCTCCTTTAACCCACTGGACGGAGAATGGTCACTGGTCTAGGTCTGGGCATTTGATGGCCGAGAGCTATCAAGGAAAGCTGAGGATTAAGGAGGTTGTTATTGCCACCTTGTCCCCACATGGATAATCAATTAGTAATATGCTGTGGGATGGTCTGGTCTCTATATATGTTGTAATGATGTGGTGCCACTGCTGGTCAATAAGGAAGCTGTTTTGGCAACACAGGATAAGAGCCATGTTGGAAATCCAAGCAAAGATACAGGGAGAGGAAATGTGGAATCAGGGAGCAGCTGAGAACTGGGGGGGGGGGGGAATGGAGGAAGATGTCATGGAGCACAGGTAAGGACAGGAGACAGGGTGATACAAAGATGAATAGAAATGGGTTCATTTAAGATGAAAGAGCTAGCTAGTAAGTAGCCTGAGCCATAACGCAAGCAATTTGTAATTAATGTAAGCCTCTGTGTGTTTATTTGGGAACGGCTATGGGACACAGAGAAAGTTCTGGCTATAGGAGTAGACATACTCCTCTCTAAATTATAATTCTTCATAATCTCTAGTTTTATAAATGTCTTTCACACACACACACACACACACATATATATATAAATATATATTTATAATATATATATCCATATAGAGGGAAGGAATGAGATTCTTTCAATGATATAGACCCTTTTGCTCTGGATTTGGGCCTTCAGGGGACTAGTTTGGGCTCAGAATAAAGAGATACATGGCTAGATGTAGAGCCTGGATGACCTGAGGTCAGTCTGAGAACCCTGGTAAACATGCAGCACATTCAAGCATGTGATGGTAAATCTAGTGCCAAAGAGGAAGAGACAGGTGGAGCCACAGGGCTTCCTGGCCAGGAGGTCTGCACAGTTGATGATGCCCTGGTCCAATGAGAAACCTTGTCTTAGAGGAGATAGATGTCATCCAGAGGATGATGCCAGAGGTAGTCCTCTGGTCTCCTCATACACACCATATCTAGGAATCATCAAATGCCCAGACCTAGACCAGTGACCATTCTCTGGCCCGTGGGTTAAAGGTGAAGCTGATTGGCAGGTAGGACTGGATTCACACTGCCATGTTCTCTGTCCTCCCTACCCCCACCTTCTGTGTATGTTTCACACTCTTGTGACGTGGCACAGGTCAGCTTTGAACTCATGATCCCCTAGTCTTAACCTCCACAATGACAGAGGCAGTCCTTTGTCCCTCTGGGACAAATATCCTTCACCTTTTTCTCTCCCTCCCCTCTCCCATGTCCCTTTTGGGGTGATATTTTGGTTGTGCTCTAATAAATGAAGCTCAGACCTGGAGATCAGCGTGTGGAACTAGACACTGGCAGCCAGGCAGTGGAGGCACAGGCCTTTAATCCCAGCACTAGGGAGGTGGAGACAGGAAGTGATAAGGCTGGGCAGAGAGAGGACTATAAGGCTGCAGGAGACAGGGGCTCAGCCCCCCTTTCAGGCTGAGGAGTTGGAGAGGTGAGAGGTGGCTGTGGCTGCTCCTTTGTCTCTGGGATCTTTCACCATTTACCCCGATATCTGACCCCGGATTTTTACTATTAAGACCAATAAGAGCTGGTGCTACACCTTACCATTCTCCCTCATACCCCATCTCTTCACCACCACATCCTAGCCCATCCTACCACAGACCTCCCCTTCTCCTCTAAAGTCACCCCTGCAAGGGCATTGGTGCTGCTTTCTGCCTCCGGCCACCGTAACTTTTCTCCACTGGCTTAATAAAGGAATTCTCTGTGAAAATGAGTGTTTGAGTTTGTGCCTATTCGATGGTCCTAGAGGAAGCCCCCACTATTTGGGTTCACCTTCAAGGCAGATATCTATGATTCCAGGCCAGCCTAGTTTACAAAACTAATTCCAGGACAATGAAGGATACACACAGAACACCTGTCTCAAAAAAAAAAAAAGTTGTTTTAAAGAAAACCAAACAAATAAACAAAAGCTAACACCCCTCAGGGTGAGGATGGCAGCTGGCAACTGTCTTTCTCTGTCTCAGCACAGAGAGGTCTGAGACAGGATGATCACACCTTCCAGGGCAGCCTGAGATACACAGGATGTCCCCATCAGGAACAAAGACAAGGAAGGAGGAGGAGGACAAAGGGAGAGGCCCAGTTCCTCCCAACACTGGGACTGTCACCTGCTCAGCAGCAGGATGGCTCACACTGCCTTTAAACAGGCCCATCTTGTTGTACCCAGAGTCCCCCAAAGACCATCAAGAGATGAAAACCAATGCAAAAGCAAAGAGTCTTTTTATTGTTGGGACTTAACTCGGGCCTCTCTGTCCATCTGACACAGCAGCAGACAGGAGAGACCCTGACTAACAGTGGGGCAGAGTTTTATACAGGCTAAAGCAATGGGGGGGCTTGATGCCTACAGAAGACATAGGAGCAGATTTGGATTGCTTGATGTGAGTTGCAACCATGTTAATAACCTTTAATTGGCTAGGGTTAGCTGGGGGTTATAGTTATCCATTTTAGGTCAGGCCTGGAGAAGTCCCAGGCTTTGTCCTTGAACTGGTGCTGAGGCTGACAGGCCTAGCATATACTCACTGTGGGGGCCTGATCATTGGCCCAGGCTTGGTACATCCTATCTCCCTGCCCCTGCTGACAGTGACATCAGTGATTCACCGATTTTTGTTCATCACCCACTCAGAAACTGCTTGCTTAGTCTCAGGAAACTGAAATTGAGGCCTGATCTCTGAATGAAGCCTTAGCAGCCTGTTGTGGCTTCTGTTTGGTCCACTCAATCCCTCAGGACTCTAGGAGACAAAGCTGGGACTCTTTCACTGCATGGTCTGGAAACTTCTGCAAAGACAGTAGGGTAATCCACATCCATGGAGGACCCCAAGGCCACCTCTCCCCAACTTCTCAGAGTCCACTTCTCTGCACAGCCCAGTGCTCACTAATCCCTCACTCAGACGCTATTCCAGGGCCTGGACCTCACCCCCACCCTTCCTTGGGATCAGAATTCTACAAATCCAGGAGGAAGAGGCAAGTGGATATCTGGGAGTGATAATATAGTCTGGTCTACACAACAAGGCCCGAGTAACCTTGGCCAGATTGAGACCCTGTCTCAACTTGCTACACACACACACACACACACAGACACACACAGACACACACAGACACACACAGACACACACACACACACAATCTCAATGAACTCAGCCAGGCTATACTTCTCCATGAGCTGACTGACTTACATGTTACCATAGCACCACAGTGACCTCCCACCAGGGGAAGGTGGTTACCAGTACCCAGGCTTATCTTCTACAAGCAGGTGGCAGATGTGCCAGGGCCACACACTATCAGTAATTTCAGAGAAGAGCTCTGTGACAAGAAGACCTTAGGGAGTGTATCAGAAAGGCCAGGCTGGTGGCAGGATGGCGCAGTCCCTGCTGGCCCATCCCCCAACAGCCAGCAGCTCTGGCACTAACACCCCAGAGTTAACCTTCAGTCTGATTCCAGTCACCCCGATACAGATGCTCATTATAGACCCTGAAATGACTCCATCCCAGTCCAGTTCAGGGGACCAGTGACTTTATTGGGGTCCCATGTTCATGGGTGACTCATCAGCTGCATCCACAGGAAATGCACCACAACATTGTGCTGATTCATGACAGCTGCATCCAGGAGGTCCCCTGGGCCAGTTTGCAGCCAGGTCCATGGAGGAATTTTCTCTCCCCTTGTATCCCCAGCAGTAGTTCCCTGAGGCTGAGGAGGGCACTGGAGGCTTAGAACTTCCTGGTTCTCCTTCGTCCATCAGGCCAAAGGTGTTTCAGTCAGAGGGGTAACAGCTAGAGAATAATAAACAGTCAGAAGGTGGTCTGAGCTGTCTACAGATTGAGAAATCCAAAACACAGATTGGCCCACCTGATACGTGGTTGTTCTCGGAAGAGGGCCCTTCCTGGGAGCACTCGGAAAGAGTGAGCTGGGTATTGTCAGATCCCTCACTGGGACAGGCTGCTCATGGTTAGTGGGGCCTGGCACCACAGCAGGGCCCCTCCCAGTAGGGCCCCTCCCAGGAGAAGCAGCAGGGAGCTGAGCCAGCCCAGGTAGAGTGAGGCTCCCATCTCTGGTTTCCACTGGGGGACATTTGTAGAGTTGTTCATTCTAAGGATGACATTGTGTGTTACCCAGGACACAGACACCAGCAGCAGCAGACCAGCCCCCACGAACAACCCACTTGCCGCCATCTTGATCTTTCCTTCATTGTTCATATTTGACTCATCTGTGATTAGCTTATCTCTGATCATGTACAGCAGCAAACCCATTGAGATGATGATGATGCAGATTACCACTAGAACACGAGATGCCTGCAGCTCCTTTGGCAGGACCAGAAGTGAGTTGTAGGGCATGCAGCTCACGTTCTGGAATCCTTCTGCATCACAGAGGTACCACAGGCCCTCCCAAATGCTGGTGTCTTCAGAAACTTTCGTCACTTGCCACAAGGGCAAGCCACAGCTGATAATGGCCACTAGCCAGCCTAGGAAGACCAGAGAGAAGCTGGCTGCTTTCAGATCTCTTCGACCCATGATTCTCTCTCTGATGGACACAGCACACAGAAGACAGTGGAGATCTGACTCTCAGCTGCAAGATTGAATGGGCTGAGGATGGATTTTCAACATGTCAATAGCAAGCTGTCCTGAGGACCAGGTCTCTACACAGTCAGACACACAGGCAGCAGGTAGGATTTCAGCAGTTATCACAGGGCCCTGGGTGTTGTAGGAACTTAGCAGAATCACTGTGTGGGATAGAAATTAGAATAAACAGCTATTTTTTAAAAGCACTTGACCTTGAAGAATCATTGTGGAAAGCAGTGATTGTTTAGCTAAAGGTGCTCTGCAGCCATCCCATGACTTTGGAAACAAGATGCCTCAGGCACACCTGAAGCTCTAGTATTATTGGGTATTTTACACAATACATAATACAGGACTAGAGTCGTGGAGACATGTGATACTCTCCTGCCCCGCCTGCAGGGCTACAACGGGTTCTCGACCACCCTAATGAGGGAATGTAGGGACAGGAGATACAAGGAAATACACCAAGTCTAGATTCTGATCAAGGTGCAACTTTATTTTTCTCCAGGAGGGTTTATATAGTTCCTGCAGTGTGGGGGGAACAAGAAGTGGTCATCTGCATAAGGTGGGGCAAGCTAACAGGATGTTTGTAAAGGATGTTTACAGGGTGAAAGGGTCAAGGGCTCTGACTCAATGTCCTGTTGCTAGGCAACCTGATTGTAAGATGATCTAGTTTCCTGTCTTATGGGGGTCTGTATTTTTCCACTAACTAGAGATTCTGTCCTTGTCCCTGACACTCTCCTTAGGTGAGACATGTTAAGTCAGAACAGGGGCCTTGGTATGAGGCAATACTTTATACAACTTTCAATAAATATGCCTTTATATGGCTTTTCAGGGTTCAATCCATCAGAAGAGGCAGAACATTTCTACTGCCACATAGGCCTTAAAATTCTATCTTGGAATGTCTTCCTTCTTCAACCTACCCAAACTACATGGTCCACCCTGACATTGGCCCCCAACATGGGGCCTTGGAAGAGATTAAGCTTGCATGAGGTTTGGAAAAGGGTGGGAAAGAGCGAGGAGTTTCTGTGTACAGGCCTCATGGGATCAGATCTCTGTACTCTTTTTAAAGTGTGTGTGCATATCAGTGTGTGTGGGTACATGTTTCTGTGTGTTCATGCACAGGTGGGCACAAGAATGTAGACACCAGAGGACAATCAATGTTGTCATCTTCAGGAACTCTATCTACCACCTTTGAGATGAGGTACATAAATGGCCTCCAGTTCACCAATTAGCTGACCAGTGTTCTATGAAGTCAAGTGACAACCCTCCTAATTCCCTAAGCCATCCTAGGGTACTGAGTTCTGGGGATCTGAGGACACAATGCAAAAAAGGCACATTGGTCAGCTGCACACCAGAGACCTCCTGTGGTCCCATGCACTGCTATATCTGATGTGAGGTTCCATCTTGTCAACTTATCAGGATGTAGAATCACCATGGAAACAAACCTCTGGGAATATCTGAGAGAATTCCTAGACTGGGATACTGAGGTGAGAATCCTCACCCCGTGGGCAGCACCATTCTATGGTTTGGGGTCCCAACTGAATGGAAAGTAGAAAGTGACTGTGAGCCCCGGCATCACCTCCCTCTGCTTCCTGCCTGTGGATGTGATGTGACTGCCTGCCTCGTGCTCCTGCCCCATGACATCCCAGCGACAACAGACTGCATCTTGGGAGGCAAATAAAGTTTTTCTTTGTCCAGGTTGTTTTGTGTCAGTGTTTTATGACAGACAGAGAAGGCAAACTGTCTGGCATGATGGTGCAAACACCTTTAGTCCCAGCACTTGGGAGGCAGAGGGAGTCTATCTCTGTGAGGTCCAGGCCAGCTTGGATACAAATGAGTTATGGACCAGATAGGACAGAGTAACACTGTCAGAGAGGGTAGGGGAGAAGAAGAGAGAGGGAGAGAGGGAAAGCGAAAGGAAAGAAGAGAGAAAGAAAGAACACTCAGTCACACTAGAACATGGTCTGAGCTGAGTTCAAAGATAAACAGAGACAACTTGTAGACAGAGGCCTACTTCCTGCTCTCCTGCTTAGTTGAGGAAGCCAGGGCTGTTGCTGGGACTGAACAATTCATTCTCAGATGGGGCCTTCCACAAGGGCAGGGCTCCTCCAAGCATCAGCAGGATGGAGCTGGCCCAGCCTGCGTAGAGCAAAACATCCTACTTTGCTTTCTGCATGGAGCCCAAGACTGCATTCGAGCATCCATAGATGAAGTTGTGTGTTCTCCAGGACATGGACACCATTGGCTAGAGGCCAGCACCAGGATCAAGGCACCCACCCTCCTCACAATCATGACATCACCTCTGTCATTAGGCAGCCATGACAGCACTCAACCTCAAACATACACAACAGCAAACCTATTCCATTATACAGAGGACCATGAGGACCTGAGACACCTGTGGGCCCTGTGAACCTGGTACATTTGCCATAGACCCCACCTAACATTAGATTCTAGCCCTATCATTCATGAAATATTGTCACCCTTCACATGGGTAGCACATAGCTCCAAAAGATCACCAGTCAGCTCAATTTGGACACAGAAATGCAGACCCATTACAGTGCCTTGAGAGCCATGGCCCAGAGTCTCTGCAGTTAGGAAAGGGAGACAGTGGCGATCTGGGCTGAGCTGCAGGATCCCAAGGACTGATGATGGACAGAGCAAGTGTCCGTTCAGAGAAAGCCTTTCCCTGGACACAGACAGACACAAAAGCAGACAGAGACTCAGTCCACACCAACAACAATTACCTCTGTAGAAGCAGATGTCCGCGGCAGCAGTGTGAGGACAGCAGTTGACAG